GCTTATATTACATCGACGAAATGCATTTCCAGGTGCTGCTGTTTGAAAAAGACGGCGAGTGTCATTGCTACTTCCCACCGGATGCCTTGCCGCCGACTCTTTTGGAAGCAGTGGCAGCATGCAGATAAACGTGACGCTGCTGTAAGCTGGCAGGTGGCGATGTCCCCGCGTGAGAAAGTTCGACAATAGCTAGGGCAAGACAAATGCATCACATTCCTTTGGTGCATGGCGCAACGAAAATGGAATGGTTATACTACGTTCGAAAGGACGTATAAAAGCAGTGGAACATTGGAGTTATTTAATCCGTATAAAGCTTTGACAAACTGGCTGTGCCGAAGTTCTGGATGGGCCCAAACTCCTCTGAGTCCTGTTGTTCCTGCTCTTCATCCGCATTCTCCTGCCGGGGTCTGGATTTGGGACCGGTGTGGTCCCGGTCAAGATGCTAGATTGTTTCTTCTCAGCAAATAGCCCATGCAGTATGGCCGCTGAAATTCTCTGAGCAGATTTTTGTACTGCTTCGACTGCGTGCAACGCTATGACTCCTCTCTGGCAAACCACTGTTTTCGACTGGATGTGCCATCCATCCACAACATTATGCGCCTCACAAACTTGAGGGATCCAAGTCGCATCTGAGACAACCGCCTTCATATACTCGACTGCAAGCGCCATCTTGAACATGTCTTTGGTGGTGTTCATGTTTTTCTTTTCTTCCATCTCCATCAATATCCTTTGGCACGTTTGGAGGCAGGTGTTTGGCCGTGGTTTCTATTCGCCGGTGTTGCTTCGAATGACTCGTCGAGACTGCAATGCATACCGCCAGGTGAGTATCATCTAATTTTGGTAACCTCCGTTGCAATAGCTCAGTCATGTTTGCATTCATTTGAGTGCAGCCGACCAAAGGCATTGGACTGCATCCGACGCCAATGCATCCGAGCAGCAAAGCTCCGTGCACCCGATAGGATTTTGTGCATCCGCCCGATATGATTTCGCCTGAGTGTTGGAAAGTATCGAAATGCATCGATTGTGTGTTTTGATTGAGAAAGTCACACTTAGCGACTCCTGCCTCGTGTGGAGGCGGGGTAAGACCAAACGTAGAGTGTGCAATGCATGCGGCCAGGTGAGTATCATCTAATTTTGCTAACATCCGTTGCAATAGCCCGGACATGTCCGCATCCATTTGAGTGCAGCCGACCAAAGGCATTCGACTGCATCCGATCCCAATGCATCTGCGCAGTAAAGCTCCGTGCACCCGATAGGATTTTGTGCATCCGCCCGATATGATTTTGCCTGAGTGTTGGAAAGTATCGAAATGCATCGATTGTGTGTTTGGATTGAGAAAGTCACACTTAGCGATTGCTGCCTCGTGTGGAGGCGGGGTAAGACCAAACGTAGAGTGTGCAATGCATGCGGCCAGGTGAGTATCATCTAATTTTGCTAACATCCGTTGCAACAGCCCGGACATGTCCGCATCCATTTGAGTGCAGCCGACCAAAAGGCATTCGACTGCATCCGATCCCAATGCATCTGAGCGGTAAAGCTCCGTGCACCTGATGGGATTTGTGCTTCCGTCCGATATGATTTTGCCTGAGTGTTGGAAAGTATCGAAATGCAAGTTAAATTCATGGCAAGTAGCTGTTAATTCATGGCAATCAGCTGTTACCACTTTGCTACATATCTTATGCGCCATGCAGTCACAAAGCCAGTAGACTGAGCATGCAGAAGGAGGCATTGAGGCATAAAGTATCCTCAGAAGCCTGTTGCAGAACATAGCCATCATATGGCACTGACAGCAGCATAGCTAGCAGTGGCTAGCAGTGGCACAGCTAGCAGTGGCACAGTTAGCAGTGACATAGCTAGCAGTGGCATAGCTACCAGTGTACTTCTACTGGGTACAAGCATCATCGAAAACTTTGGCCCAAGTAAGTCAGGTTGGCAAAGAGTAATAGAATGCTGAGAAATTAATATAATTATCCCAACCGCAATGGATTAAAAAAACACCTTGGGCACCAGCACAATGGGTGTCGCAGTTGGGGAATACGTGGAATAATCACCAAAATTCATGTTGCTTTGGAAAGGCTGGTGGCTGACATATGATTTGGTTCTGCATATCTTCGCAAGCATAAACATATATTTAAGAATACTACACATATGTAGTGTATCTACAACTCCAGGTAGACATGTGTGGCATGTGTAAAATGTGGCTCATGTGTATGTGTATGTGTATGTCAATGTCATTGTATGTCTATGTCTATGTGAATGTGTATGTATGTGTATGTGTCTGTAAGTGCTCATGTGTCATGCAGTGCGATGTCATTGTGTGTCATCTCCGCACGTCATATCAAACCAAATGATTCTTGAACAAGAAGCTCCCATCTCTTCCCGCACTCTCCCTTCAATGCACCTTTTCCCCTTTCAAACCCCTGATCTTGCGCATGTTGTCTGCTACAAGTCGCAAACGGCCAAGTTGGAATCACAACTAAGGCCAACGGGACATCCCCAAGTTGGAATCATAACTACGGCCACCGGGACATCTCACAGCTGGATGCCTTTACGGCCAGCCATGAAGGCAGCACGCTCAGCACTTTCCTTCCACATTTTATGGGCATCCTTCAGCTTGGCATCTGGCGTCTGAGTCATGTAGCTTCGCACCTCTTGAACCATCTAAATAACCAGCTTCTGAACAACAGAGCCTCCCCAAAAAACTTGAAGGACAAGAGTTTGAAAAAGACAGCGTTACTAAGAAGAGCATCAAAGTGGCATATGCCCAATGAGCTTGCTGCAATGGAGTGCCATGCGAAGAAGATGCACCATCGGGTTTCCCTTCGTCTGAGTCAATGCCATCATCATCATCTGTCTTCGCCTTCTTCAGAACCTAGTTGAGAAACATCACAGAAAACATAATGGAAACAACTGTCAGAAAAAAAACAAGTTCTTCAAGAAACTCCGGCGGACTCAAACTTGCAATGCCAGCCCCTGGAGTTGGCACGCTTCCGGTGCAAACGATCTGCCTTGATCTTGCTAACGGTCCCCGGGCTCATGTCTTCGGTAATGCGAACGCCACGGTACTTCCCTTCCTGGGAATTAAAAAAAAATCTGAGCATTGAACATTTGACTGTTAAACATTCCCTTTCTTAATTTCATCATTGGTCAATGGGAAAACCCTTCTCCTCAGCGGCTTCAACTTCCTGGCTCACAGCATCATCGTCTGGAACTGCAGCAGGAACATCTGCTTCTGGAACAGCCTGACGCTTTCGACTCTGACGGGTGCGCTTCGGGGCAGCCTTAGCAGCCTCAGGTGATTGGAACGTTTGGAAACTGAAGATGCATCACCAACCATCATCTGAAATCATTAGTGGGGAACCGCCCATCTGAAAAAAACAATATGGACCCAAAACCATGCATCGAAAACAGCTCCAAGTAACTGTCTGCAAGCCAGCTTTCTTCTCTGGATTGCCCAAACCATCCACACTGGCATTGTCTGGCAAATCTGGCACACCAGCGCTCTCTGAAGGCTCCTGTAATCCAACCCTTTCACCTTTGAAAAACAACCCTTTATCCCCCCAATGATTATGACATTTAGAGGGGGCAAGACAAAAATAATAACAACTGTCCTTTGACTCTTCCACCTTATGATCTTTGCTACCAGCAGGCAATGATGGGCTCATGTCATACTGGCTGTGGTTGGAAGCAATGGATGCCAAACACTGGCTGTCTTCCAAGTGCTTGCCCCTGGGCGGGGGTGTCTTGAACTCAACCTCTGGCGGTGTGGTCGGTGCATCCTCTTGGGTCTCTGGGCATTCCTTCGGCTCCAGCGCCATGAAGTCTTCATGTCGAAAACTGTCATTGGGCAACAAGAAGTCTTCTGTTCTTCGGATCGAAGTACCGGGCAGGTACTCGGAATCCTCTTCAAAGAAAGGATACGGCTGCTTGGCCGGAGCTGCTTCCTCCATCTCTGGGAAAAGGCACTTTGAAGCTGGATCCCTCAAAGGCCGTGCAATACTTTCCACAGGCATCGCCATCCCCTTGGCAAACCCTCTGACAACATTTGCTTTATGTTAAAAGGTATTTGTCACCACCATCTGACAAGAACATATTAAAGCAAACCAAGTAGCAGCACTGGACCCAGTATTGGTCATGAACTTCTCAACCTTGGCACTCACCTTGAAAGCACGGAAGCTCGGAGCAGTCACGGCCAGAAGCGAAGAATCCCGTGAAAGAGAAACTTTGGAACCATCTGAACCTCCTGAAGGAGCTGGAGCTGCAATCTGGGAGCTGGGAGGCTCTCCAACCACCATATGCTTATGCATCAACCCCTCATCTACACAGGTTGAGTCCAAGTCCACAACCTCAATCTCACCACATTGCAAGGCCATGGCGACCCAAGCAAATGCAACACACGGTTGTTGAGCAATGCTGCCTGCCTGAAAGAAACACATGTCGTGTGTCCTTGCTAAACCCCAGCTTCACACTTTACAAACAAAAAGGATCAAAAAGGGTTGGGGGTGAAGCGTGCTTCAAAAACAAAGGTCTAAGGGCAAACTTATAGCAAATGCGCATCTGCTATATTTTTGTCCTCTTTCGTCTGATCACGAGAGGCAGCCAACGAGATCTATCCCCGATCTGATCTCTAGAAACTCATATGCCTTCTGATCTCTCCCAAGGTCTGGAAACTCACCTGTGTGGCAAGTCCTCCAGTCAAAAGTCAAAACCTTGGACCTGCCACACTGACATGCCGCATCCTTGCCACACAGGAACTGCTTTTTTAATATGTCTTCGGTTTAGTACCTTTCCACGTGGCACATCAGTTAGGCTCCTACACGATTTGATATACCAAACCGGCTTCCATGGTGAAGCCCAGCCCCTTCGCAAACCACAATGGCTTGGCTGGCCCCAAAACCTTCTCTCTCACAAAGTGCCTCATGCCTTACTTGGTTCAGAATCTTTGAAAACTTGATAAAAGACCAAAACATGATTTGATGACTTTGGTGGAAAATAAAATGTCATCGAAACAAGCCCAAGGTTCGCCACACCAACTGGATGTGCTGGCTATTGGACAGCGCTGTGTATCCAATCAGCCCAGCAATATTGGTTGCCTTCGCAGTTCGGGCTGTCACGGCATTCGGTTTGAAGAGTGAATATGCTTCGTGGGTCACCTCGATGCGGTCACGCTCCTCACCACGCTTGACGGCTGCTGGTCGGTCAAAACCATGTCCTGTAAGCTTCAAATCCAGAATGCCTTTCTTCTCCATCGAAACAATGAGCTCATAGATGCTCATTGGGGCTGTGTCGGCAGGACCCTGGCTGCTTTGCTCCTCCAACACAACCTAAGTTGAGGCTTCTGCTTTCACCTTGCAGAAGTACCACATTTCACCTGTCATCTAGAAAAAATAATGGACCAAAACCATCTGAGAAACTCTGTCTTCTCCAGATGCCACCCGAAACTCCACGGCCTTGTCCTGGTTTGCTGGCTTGCTCAAGAACTCTTGCGCCTAAGATGGTCGCAGGTGCAATCAAAAAATGGCTTCTATTCCGCTCAACTTTTCCCAAAAACAATCAAATGAATCAAACTGACTTGGTTCTAAGTCCGGGAACCTTTGCCGATTCACTGATCCAACTTCCACCAGCATACATGAACAAAGGTTTGGCTGAGGAAGAGCACACACCAGGAAGGACAACTTGTGAAGGGCTCTGAAGGAAAACCTTTGATCCAACCACAAAGCACGTGACGCTGAATCCAACACTCAATGTTACCTGGGCATCTGTGCTCCGGTAGGTCTCTTTGAACTTTTCCTCAGTCATGGATGGGGGCTGAACCATCTGTTGCGCAGCTGGTGCTGCTTCTGCTCCTGCTTCTGCTCCAAGATCGCGTTCCTCATCTCCTTGTCGTGGCTGTGGTCCTTCCTCACCCTGAACATGCTGGAAGACGGAATCGAAGTTCTTCAAGCGTACTCGCCAGTCCGGGTCTTAGATGAATCTTCCACAACAACATCACAGCACCCAAACACAAAATACTGGCCCTAGCAAAAAAAAACGACAGACAGGTTGGAAAAAAACAACAGAATCAAAACAACATCTGATCTGGGAAAAAGATTCTCCTCACAGGATCTGCCAACCACTTGTCTCGGACTTCTCGCGGGATGCTCAAATGACCCTGCGCGTTCATGGTGCAAAGCTTCAACGTCGGGGCGCGTGGTGGCGCCTGGTCACTCAAATCTGCAGTTTCCTGGTACTTCGGGTTCATTTGGCCAATCTGGCCACGGCCCTGCTTCCACTCCTCATTTGTTCATCTTAAAAATGCAAAAAAATGGAGGGCATATGAGGGCACTCACTAGGCTAATCATTAGACATACTTGTTCCTGAAACATGAGAGACATAAAACTTTTGGCACCCACAGATGTGAGCCAGTCCTCCAAAAGCTTGTCCTTCACTCCAGTGACGCTGTATGTGAAGATGTTGCTGTTCTGCGTCTCGCTGAAGCCAGCCACATAACACTCTGACTGAAGGTCGGTCATCAGGTCCACAAGCACCTCTGCCATTTACAGTACCCCTTTGATTTTCCAAACCACATTTTTTCAGCAAGCCGAGCCTTCTCTAATACCCCGTCATACATCGTGAGATGTTGCACAATGAGGGGTTGTCCTTTCAAAGTGCTCACCCTTGACAGGCAGGTTTCCAAGATGTTCCGAATGGCTTGTGGAGATGCAAACCACTGAGCCCCTTCCTGTTTGTCCTCATTTCTGCTTTGATCTTCCCAGCCCTTTTAGGGTCTCAGAAAATATGCTAAGTAACCCGAAACAACAGACATTGCAGTGCAAGAAAAATAAACTATGTCAAATCCAGCTTCAGTCAATGACCTTCCCTGCTCATGGGTGAAGAAAGTGCCGCTCTCCGGCGTGACGTAGTCACCTTTCATGATCATGTTTCATGTCAAAACCAGTATCTTATATTCTCTTTTTTGCATCTAATCAAAAAAATACTTTCTTCGAGTGATCCGCATCGTTCTGACCTACCATCTGGAAATATGTGGCATAAATATATTGCCTATATATATATATTAACTTATTTATTTATTTAAATCTATTATTTATTATATATATACATGAATATTTTGATATTCTATCTGTGTTCTGGCATATACTCTGACATTCTATCTGACATTTCTTTGTTATAGTGCCTGGCATCTATTCTGACATTCTTTCTGGGATTCTCTCTGACATTCTCTTCTAGCATTCTCTCTGTTCGGGCCCAGGCCCAGCCCACTGCATTCACAGGCAAGGAGGAGGAACAAGAATGGAAGAGGAGGTGGAAACTTTGCACCTTTGTGTGAAAATCTAGAAACCTGGCAAATGAAAAAACAATGAATATCTGCCGGCTTACTTGTTGCGAGCGGGATCGAAGGTGGACACACCAAAAGGTTCCAGTAGTCAGATTTGGTCCAGACATTGTCATCCTGAAGCTTTCTCTCACTACTCCTTGGTGCTTTGTATAGTGTTCCTTGGCGACATCCAAGCGTCGAATCCAGTGTGATGAGCCACGCTGGCAGAACTCTTGGAAACGTCCTTGTGGGTTTAGTTGGTTTCCAAATTCATTTTGATAGTTTTTAAAAGACATGCCAAATAAAAACAAAATGGCAACAGCATCTGACTCTGGCAAGGTTCCGGTTTCCCTGCAAAGAGCTTGTGTCAAACATGATCTGCACCAACTTGGCTTCCATCTGAAGTTGCGACAGCTTGTCCTCAATGCGCCTCACCAAATTCCCAGCTACAAATTGTAGCGTGCAAAAATTCCCAGCTACAATTTATTGAAATAACTTTCAACTTTCACCCAACATCGCCTGGACTCTCCCCGCAATCCATTGATCACCCCATCTCCAGCAATCACAGGGCAGCACATGAAGACCATGCCTCGACATATGCATGGGAACATGTATCAGAAAGATTCCATGATCCAAAAAAACAAGGAAAAAAGAGATAGCTGAAACATGCCTAATCACTGTAGTCCGGGTTTTGAGACAGAAGCTGCAAGCACCATTGGCACACCTCATTGACTTCGACTGCTGACAACCGTCCATACTTTGTCATGTCAACAAAGCCCAAGTGATGGATCTTGTTGATATCAGCAGCATCAAACTTCTGCGACGCATCTTGGAGAACACGGCGGACAAGGCCAGCAAAACTGTTGCCCTTGTTCTTGTCCGCACACAACATCATCAGCCTCTTCTGCAGAAACGACTCTGCAACACCAAGCCCCACTTGGATCTGGTCACGCATGTGAAGGACCTCTTTTAGCTCGATGCACCAAGTTGAAAGTCAAGCAATGAAAACAAAAAATAAGAATAGCCGAATAGCATCAACTACAAAACTTCCTCAATGATGTACATGCCACCTGCGCCACATGTCTTGAGGAATCCACCTGCCACAAGGTTCAATCTGTGTCTTTGTTCTTCCCGTGTTCCTGTTATAAAATACCACTGAGAAAGCACCTTGGGAACTAAAACCATTTGAAACCCAAACCCTTGATCCAGCCTTGTTTTTTCGAAGATTGTAACTGACTGCATCTTTGTAGTCAGCAGAGAGGTTTGCACACACCACGTTGTATTCCGCATTGCGAAGATTCTCCTGTCTTTCATCAAAAATAAATCATATCCGTGACCACATGCTGAGAAGATTTTTGAAAAGACCGTGACCACATATTTGCCACCTTTTTCGCTGAACGAAAACATGTTCTAAATTCGTTCTGTCCTCTGCTTCGTCCACTGCCGCGTTGCTGTCTTCAGTAGCGTTGCCCGATGGACCTTTGAGAAGAACTTTGCCAACGTGATCCTGCCACATAGCAGTCATCTCGATTGTCAAACGAGCAGGCTTCGCCACCAGAATTGCCTCCAGATCTTGGCCATAATCCCTTAGCTGGCGCAACATGGGGGCAACCCAATATGATAAACGAAGATCAGGAAAACATACTGTAACAATTAAAAATCAAAACCGCCAAGGTACCCACACAGAAAGCCTTCTTCCATTGCATCCAACATGTCCTGTGTCACATTGGGATCATTCTTGGACTCCTTGTAGACCCACACAAAAATGCAGCACTGGTTGACGTTGGCAGTCCACTGGTCCTCATTCCATCGCAGCCTGCTTCTCATAGATTTCTTCACTTTCCGGCAATGGATTGCCCAGAAGTAGTTGTACTTCTTGAAATGGACATGCTGCACATCTGGTGTAACCTGTGTCTCTCTGTGGGCTCGGTGAACAAGAATTTGGCACAAACATTACCCACGAAGAAACTGTGGTTTTCAATGGCATCTGACATGGAGTGAGGTGAACAAGAATTTGGCACAAACATTATCCACAAAGAAAAAGTTGTTTTCAGAAACATCTGGAATATAGTGAGGCAACTGTGAGGAGTCGTTCCCAAAATGGCTGCAAACCCCTCACAGTCTCATTCAAAAGGTGTCGCTTCAACCGCAGGAGTGACTCATTGTAGCCTTAGCATGCAAAAATTTGCTGCGTAGGAAACATTAAGCCACTGAAAAAAAAACAAACAAACCCCACAATAGACACCAAAAGTCTTTCCAATACAAGTGCCAGAAACCGCTTTCTTCCCACTTGTTGTGATCCAAGTGAGACCGCAACAGACTCCTTGAAATCTCATCGAGCCCAACAATGATGCACCAAATCGCCTGGTACTGATCCGGGCTGATCTGCCATTTTCGAATCGCTGCATTTGCCCGATACGAATTGTACCGGGCAACGATGGTCTGCAACATCTCACCTTCATTTTGAGTTTGGGCAGCTTCAGTCTGCATCCTCGCCTTCAGCATCATCTCAAAACGAGTTGCCATCTTGAGTACCTTGAAATTGGCTGGTACCCAAATGCTCACTATCCCCATTTGGTTCCATTTTTGCAAAACATAATTCCAAATAAGTTGCATCTTTCTTCTGCCTTTCAGCTCCCTGTGTGCTAAGCTGGATCCCTTCGAAGTTCACAGTTTCAGGATCTGAGCAAGCCGTGATGGTGGACGGCAGGTCGAACAGCTCACCAATGGCTGGTAGCAAGCACTCCAGCAAATCCTATTACACCAGCGAACCCACCTACTACAACCAATTCAAATCAAGAATTCCCCCCAAAAAATATACTCTCCAAAAAATGAACTAGTAAATGCATACTCTCCTTCCCAGAAATTGGATCGAGATCAGCTGCAACCAAGAGGAGAAACACTGCAGAGGTCCTCAACTTCACTGCATGCCAATAAGTAACAAATGCAGAAAATGGGGCCATTTTAAATACAAAAAAACACGCAAACAACTTTGAAACCAAGCATCAGCCTCGTAAATCCTTTCTTGATGAGCAGAAATGGCTCAGATGGAGATCCCATCCCACCCATGTCTTGGACATTCAAATCCAAGGGTTCACGGTACAGTCTGTTGCCAGAGAAAAGAAAAGAGACGCAGCAAGTGATCCAATCTTCGATGCAAGGCATGTCTGGTGGCCTCAAGATCAGGATTGAACTCAAAGGCACTGTAACCACCAAGCGCTTGTCATCTCCTTGGCCAGCAAGTCCTGACACATCCTTGGCTGATGCATTCAAATGAGGCAAAATCAAATATCATAGTGGCAATGGACCAAAACAAGCAGGACCACAATGAAAAATAAACCATACCACAAAGCAAACATAACAAGTAACTGGCACACTGGCAATTACCATTCTCCTGCCGTGGATGTTCATTACCTCTTCCAAAAAGACCTGAAGTTTGTGCATGGTCGTCTTCGAAACCTCAGGATCTTTGAAGGCGTCCAGGACCGGGTCGGCCGGATGGGCTGTGGAAAGCGAAGCCCCGGCATACGCAGGTTCGACATAAAGTGAGAGATAGGACAAAATGTCCTGTCCCCCAAACAATAACATGTTAACATGATAAAAGCTTATATTACTTTGAAATACTTTGGACATCCCTCAAACAAAATCTGTCCTGAGCAAACGACACATCCCCTGGCATCTTCCTAAGCGCAGATGTCCACTCAGTCTTCCTTTTCTTGGCAGCTGCACTCTCCTCGCTCTTTCCCTTGGATTGCTAAATCACGACCCAAAATCATTTTGATGAAAATCAGCATGGGGTTAAAAATAACTGCAAAAAAAAAACATACTAGACATTCAGACTAAGAACTGCAGGTGAAAACTCTTTCTTGACTTCAACCTTCACCTTCTCTTCTGATTTCACTTCTTCTGTCTTCACATTTGCATTGGGCAACATGCGCAAAGCATTCTGTGCAGCTGCCACTCCCGCTCTAAGAAGTGGAGACTCCATAGCTCAACCAGAGGCTACGTGTGAAACAAAGTGAAACAAAATGGAGCAAATCAAATGGAATTTATTCCCCAAAGTTGGTGCAGGTTGTTTCCCCAAAGTTCGGCGTAGGTGGCGGTGCATTCCCCAAAGTTCGTCGTAGGTGGGGTTAGATTCCTTAAAGTTCGTCGTAGGTGGTCTGTTGATCATCCCAAAGTCGTCGTTGTTCGGGACCCGACCTACAAAGACTTGGGCCATGTTGACGATGTTGACGTTCAATTCTACCTACACCAAACTTTGTGGACGCTAACAGTCTCAAAGTCTCCGTTGTCCACCCCCTGGCCTACAAAAACCTTTAAATAGGCTAAGTATACCTACAAAGAACTTGGGTTTTTCAAAAATTTGAAGTTCGGCGTAGGTATACTTAGCTCTTTATTGCAGCTTCGTTGTCCACCCCCCGGCCTACAACGAAATTTGGGGACGCTAACAGTTCCAAAGTCAGCGTAGGTGAGATTCCAAATTGACGCTCGCCTACATTTTTCCATCTGTGCTGTGCCATTGTTCTGGTCTAATTTCTGCCAAGCTCCAAGGCTCAACCTCAGCACCAATTCTTTCAAGGTTTGGACTCGAGATCAAGTCAAAAGCCATTTCAAGATTTTCCCAGCTTTCGTCCTGTCTTACCTTTTCATGGCAATATTTTCTCTGCATCTAGGCATGGCCATCTGGAGGTTGGGAACGGATCAGATTGGCTTAAAAACAACCTTGGGATATTTCTCTATGGATCTTTGGAGGAAACAACATCTAGCCATTATTCATCTACCCCTTCTCCAAACTGCCCTTAGTGCCACACTTGGGCACAATGTAGCTAACACCACCGGATGTGGTTCCATCCTAGGCTGAGGCATGACCTCAACCACAGCTCCTGAATCATGCCAAGGTAAGGCGGGAGGTTGATCTGCAGGTAGTCGGCAATCAGCCAAAGCTCTCAAGTAGGCAGCTGCTCTCTGTGTAGTGGGCGAACCCCCAAGCAACCTTTCAAATATGGCAGCCAGAGCCTTCCAATCATCAGTGGTCTTCTGGGAGACAGCTCGGTATGGAAGCACGCCTCAGGAAATGATCATTAGCATCCAAGAAAAAAACAAACAACACCCTGTCTGCTGTATTTGTTCTTTTTAAGTTGGGAAAATGGTCAAACAAGGAACTGACGATTGTCAAAGGAAAACTGTCTCGGTGCTGGTATGTGAGGACCAGGAGAGGTTGTTGGCCCAAATCTGGCGATGATATGTACTTCTTGGTCATGACAAAAATATCCATTGGATGTTTGGGTCTGCGATTGTTGGTGCCCTCGTCCAGCTCATAGTGCTCAGGTATGTCTAGCAGGGTTGCAAGCTATCATGCTTTCATTTCTCAAAACTGGCTCGACTGATTTCATAGGTTTGGTTGAACCCAGCCTTTTCGACGAAGAAAAAAAAAGAAGTGATTTGCAGTAGCATCGAGTAGTAATCCACCTTCCTGTGTGATGGAGAAACTTCTTCAGGATTTTTAAATTTAAGGTGCGCAACTAGAAACAGAAATATAAGGGGAAAATCTCAATAAAGACATTTAAAAGCAACTTCAAAACCAATCCCAATGAATAACCCAGGTTCTAGCTTCACAGGGGAAAACCTCCGGTGGAGATCATGCCAATCCCTCATTTTCCTCATGATTCTCACACGCACAGTCCCGCCAATCCAGGAAGCCAAAGATGGTTTGCTAAGCTCATCCTCCAGAATGGATTTCACAGACTCTGCATCAATCATGCTTGTGGATCTGGACAGACGCCTACTCAACAGTCCCCACAGCTGATCTTAGTGGGTGATGGTCAGAAAGATAGCCACTGATCTCAAAAAAAAAAGAAGCATCAACGGTGACACCGAAAAAGCATTACCTCTGGACAGATACAAGTAGCCTATGACATCGTGGGTATGGGAAACTCGCATCATCATCATGCATCCAAACCTGAATGACACCCATTGGTCACTGAAACACCCAGCAACCAGGAAACCAAACCTAGCACCTAAACTTAGTCCACAAAACTTTCAAAAATCATTCAAAATCTTCCCAAATGCCAAGCAAATAGCCGAAGTTTGCCATGATTGATAAGATTTGATACGTATCCCATGCAAATACTGTTTTTCAGTTCTTTCACTGTATTGTCGCCAATAATGGCCAATGTGTCTGGGGCGGTCTGGCCAGTCAGCCTGCAATGTTCCATCACCTTTTCGATTGTAATTGCAAGCAATTCCACCACCAAAGCGCTGCCGTGCGTGGTGTTCTCTTCCAGAATCGCCAACTGCAAATTAAACCCAAAGCACCACGAACCGTGAATCTTCAACTTCGGGCGCTGCAGCTTGCTTGCACGGTAACACGACCGTAGTGAAGGGTCGCGTGGGATTTGGTACTTTGCCTGCTGACTGCACTGGAAAAAATCCAAGATCACATAACATTTCACCCTCAGATTTCAGGTGGGAAAGGATCAAACTGTAGTAAGGTAAAACATTGGCCCAAGGAACTTGGTCTGCACCATCTGTCATTATGGTCATTGTGCGACTCATCGACTCTCCACTGATGTCCTTGAGGCTCCACCATGCACATCTGTCGGCATACTGCTCCACCAAGTGTTTCCGATACAGCTTCAAGGCGCCAAGCCTGACCTCCATGGAAACTTCCTTGTTTTGAAACCTGTGTAGTTTCTTGCTCAAGTAAGAACAGCGCGTCATTGATCACCAAAGTAAACTACACCTTCTGCAAATTAAACATGTTCTGGTCTGAATTTTGATTGGAGTGACTGTTGCTTCAGTTCTTGGCAGACGTCACATTGAGAGAAGCTGTTCTGATCTCGAAATTTCAAGATCAGAGTCCATTTCTGATTCCAGTGGCGCACAAAGGTGCCATACCTCACAATTCAGAAATCACAACCACACCATGTATTGGTTAGATTCAGGGGTAGACCGTAGACCACACACATCTTCAAGGACAAGGTGCGAAGCTTGTTCCATCACGCCATGGGCTGAGCACCATCCCAAATAGAATTGGTAAACTTCATACAAGGTCCCAGGTGGGAGATATTTCCGGCCCAACTTTGACACATCCTCAGTAAAAACCCAATCTTGGATTGCATAATTCAAGAGAAAAGCAAACATACAAAAAAACAACTCAAGGCAGAGAGAAAGCACTGTGAATGCTCCCGTAGCATGCATGTTCATCAAGAAGGAACTGTTGGCCTGCAAATAGTTCGCTAGATCTTCATCATTCTCCTCGAAGTCTGAAGGAAGAACAAAATCATCTGCACTGTCTTCACCGAGTTGTTGAAGCTGACCCTTAGATGTTGTTTTCTTCCCTTTCAAGGGCCTGGCCTTTGCAGGACCAAGCCGCACAAACCTAAGTTCAAAATGTCTGCAGCAAAAGAAACACATTGAAAAACAATTTGGTCAAACTCCAAGCGCAATGTCACCAAGTGCAGGGTCAGAAACTTGTTCGGGAGAGGTTCAGCCACAGAGTTGTAAAGGACCATGCAAAATGCATCAACCGAGGCTGTTAATTTGGATGCTCGTGGGTGGGCGCCATATCTCATATCCAGGGCACCAATCCTGTCGACACGGTGGCTGGATAGGCCCAAAAGAGATTCCCAGCAGACCCGTTTCATGTAGTGTCCCAAGAAATGAAATTCTCTGCGACCAGGCGTTCCGAGATCAGCTGCAAGATATAAGATGCAATCCTGTTCACGTTTGGTATGCTTCTCAAACTGGTCCATGAAATGTTGAACCTCGTCTAAGGACAGCTCTTTGTAACACGACCCCTCCTTGCACTTGCATGTTCCAGTCAACAAAGAAGCCAATCTTTCCTGGGATTGAAAGTCTGCTGGGAGAAAAAACAAACAAAACATAAATCACACAGACCAGTCGCTAGTCTTCATGTGTCAAACAAATCAGGCTAAGTGCCTTCAAGGTTCATGATCGTTCCTAGCTATCCGCCTTCTACCAGAAGACCGTTTCAACGCTTGTTTCTCAGAAGCTGCTTTTGCACGAGAAGCATTGTTGTATCGTCGTTTTTTCTTTGGTTGTTCAGCAGTTGGGGTGGTGTCGCTCAATATTTGTTTTGCCAAAAACTTGTTCAGAACTGAAAAATTAAGTTGCACCAACGCTTGCTGAGCAGGATCAGATTGCTCCTCAGCATCTGCATTGTATGCTGAATCATCTGAATCGCCATCCTGCTCATCTGGCTCCACTGCAAAAAGCCCCTGTGAACCCCCATAGGCGCATTCATCTGGCTCATCCCGCAAAAGAACTAGCCCAGCATCATGCGGAACACGTGGTAAAGCCCGTCCCCTGTTTTGATGACTATCTTGCTCTGGTGGTTCATCTTGAAACAGGACGGCACAACACTCTTCTCCCTCATCATTGAACAGACCAGGACTATTTTGTTCATCTGGTTCATCTTGGAACAACATGGCACGCCATGGCTGATGGGAAGTCTGGTGGCCTAGGGCGTGCAATACTTTTTAAAAGATCGATGCCCCAAACCAGATATAGTAAAATTACCATGGCAACAAAAGTTTTACTTCAAGTTACAGAGTCTTCTGATTAATGACTGACTTATTGTTTAAAAACTGATGTTGTCTTTTGAACACTTGGGCCAGGAAAGTCAGCAAAGACCCTGGGCATTTTTTAACTTTCAAACATCCAACTTGCAACAATCTTCATCGTTCATCGTCTGAAACTACTTGGTGTCCAACTTGTGCGCCGTTTCTTCACTGGAGGCATCTCCTGCAGAGTCTGGAAATTACAGCATTTTTTGGATTTTGGCGAAAGTAGTGTGAAATTTAAAAGAAGCTGTCCTTGATTGGCTCTAGGCAAATAAGAGCCTGGCTAACAAGATGCCAACCACGCCAAAGTTACAAAACACACATCCTTATGAATAAGTTAAGCATGTCAGGTTCACGCAAAGCAAGACAAATCCGATACATGGGACATCCATTCCGTTTCCAGCCAGGAAGGCCTGCCAGCCACAGAAAACTAGATATCAAAATTTTAAATGAAAGAGAAAGGCACCATAGCCACCAGCCTTAGCATTGTTTTTCAGCATTGATACATCTGCCATCTGCACTCCAGCGCCCTTCGCAAGCTCCGGAGTAACTGCCAATCCCATTGCTGCAAGCATCTCTGTTCCTGTAAGAGGTCGGTTTAACCTTCTGCTCCACCTCATCTATGTTTGGGCAAGGGAAACAATGCCTCTGGAAAATGGACAACTAAAATCGAACCAGTGAAGCAAACAAAAAGGCAGTAATAAAGCCACACTTCAAGTGACAGGCAAGCACTGGTAGTAGTAAATGTCGGCAGTGAACCATCTCCGGTGCTCGTACGGCCTCGGCCCTGCTCCGGGTTCTGGGATAAATCCTTAAAGATCAAACTGCGAACGAGTTCAAAAGCTGGTTGCGAAACAGATTAATGCCAAAAAAATGTAAACAGAAAAAATTGTTTGTTTCAGAAAAGGCTCCCACACCTTCGCCTTGGGATGCTTCTTCTCATAGGCAGATTTGAATTCTGTCGCCGAGTTTGACAGCTTCAGGTCAAACATGTTGTAGGTCCCACACTCTTCTGCCTATCAGCACGGCAACCATACCACAAACGGAAACATTGTTCCTACCACGTTCCAAGCAAGAAAATACAACATGATTAGCAGAGGTTAGGTGGGGTTTTGAAGTTGGCCAAAGGAAAAAAAAACAGAAGAAACCAAAACCTTCCTTCGGAACATGGACCTCTCCTTCTATCCTCCAAAAAATGCCAGCACGCATCTCATAAAAGAAAAACTTCCAAAAAATGCAACACATCAGAGGTGCTAGTTTGTCCTCACTTAAAAAGAACATGTCATCTGCAGAGAGGAGGAGCTTCTGGTGCGGCATCGTGAGCTTCAGGATTTCTCGTATGTTCGGCCCTCTCCATTTGAATTTGCTGCGGTCAAAGAACAGCCGATACATTCGAAGCCTTCAGGGTCCAAGAATCCAAAACAATCCAACTTTGGCACGCCATAACATGTTTCAAATGACGCTGCGATATTTTTGCAACTGTCACATGCCTGTTCATGGGCTTGCCAAACCGTTGAGGTGAAATTTGTGTCTCTTGGCATTCATAGACGGAATCAAATGATTCAGACAGGTATTCCTTGGGGTAGCCCAGCACATTCTCATGGATAAACCATCCTGGCCTCAGAGCACGCCCGCTGTCCAAACATAATGGGCATTTCCAAAAACAACATCCCCGAACAAAAAAATAAAAGAAAACACTCAATATGCAAAACCCTGGATACTGCGTGTCCAGCTTGTCCTTGACCCAAACATTCTGGACTTGACGCTTGGCAGCATTCGTTGTATTCATGCCTTCGTTCTTGCCCATCCCCGTCTTGTGCTGTGATCTATCCTCCCATGAACTTTACAGCTCAAAACCACCAACCCTACTTCTGAAAAAACAGGCACCCAAACAACACCCAATGAAACCAAGAATCTTGCTGAACAGGACGCATGGGGTTCCATCAACTGCAGCTGAAACTGCTTCCGGGTCTGTGCTGGGAGCTCGTGCGCACTTCTTGCTATGGGTGAGGCATTCCACCACAGGCTCCTGTAAGAAAGTTTGAGGTCACACTTGTGACACAATGACTGTGGAACAAATCAACGAAAACAATCTGAACCCCCCTCCAAAACTTAAAAATAACACTTGCTAAGTAAGCCAAGGAGCTAACTTCATACGAGAATTCGAAACATTGGGATTCTTCACAAAGCCCAGCATATCCTTGAAGCAGCATCGATCAGGAAAATTGGCTTTTAGGAACCTCGTGCAGGCCCCGCCAAGCATTGCCAAAAAAAAAGGTTGTCTTCACACCCCTATGCCTGGGTTCCATTGGGAAATGTCAAAAAGTTACAAGCCAGTCTGCTAGATGCCTGCGGGAATTGCAATTGATATCACAAGCCCTTCCAGGGGTGTAGTCCAGGTTGAAACCATACCTGCATCTGCTCTTGAAACCCGTCAAAACATTGTTTTTGAAGAAAAGAACATTCCTACCCACAGAAACGCTCTGAAAATGTCCCTGGGGCGAGTCTCCTTCGACGGCATGCAGCACTCAAGTACTGGTACGCAGCATGTGGGCAGTCAACGCCAGTGAACAAGCTGTCAAGGACGACCTTGGACTTCTGCAATTTGCCTTCAATCTCCTTTGCCCCAAAGAGTCTCCTTGGTGATTGGAGGCTGGGTGAAGAAAAACTTCATCAAAATGCATCCTACAACGAAAAGGAAATTAAAAATCAAATGCTGGCGCACGCAGAAACATCTGCCAAGGGTCTCAAAGCGAAGCAGCAGGCGGTTTGCCCACTGGAAGAGACCGGCGTATGTATCCGGGTTCTCTGTCCTGAAAAAAGTTGTTCATTTGCATTGGCAGGAAACCCTGTTCAAACTACATGGATGTTCTGCCCTTAAAAAAATCTGTTCGTGACCAGTTTCGGGTACGCCATGGCAGAACGGATTTTGTTGTCACCAGTGCGTGCCCCATCATCATCATAGTCACCAGCAACACCTTTTCGGCCTCAGAGGATTGGTGCTGGAACCCCAACAATAAACCATCAAAACTGTAGGAACTAAAACATGGGAAAACACACATAGGAACAACCAAAAAAACAACAAAACTGCAGGAACCAAAACATCAATTCTTCAACCAGATTCGGGGATCGGGATCTGCATCCTCATCGAGTTCGTCACCAAAAAGCTGGGGAGTTGCCTCAGGGAGGCACGTGAGCTATCATATGTATATATGTTTATATACACATGTATGCTATTTGATGTATATAAAAATATTCATCACACTATGAAAAAACCAACACAATATGATAGTGTGCTCTTGTGTATTGGGTAGTATTATGTCACTTATTATGTCACTTAGTTTTATCAGATGTATTTCACTAAAATGTTTCAACACTGAAAACATCATAGTTACAATGTGCTTTATGACCATCCTGTCTTTAAACAAAGAAACGTGCATAACACCTGTTTCAAAAACACAGTCCTCTGGATCACTTTCAGAATCGAGCAACGAGCGGTGGGGCCGCAGCAGCCGGCTTGACGAAGCAGGCATGGCAACCCTTACTGGTCACCTGGTATATGTTTATCATTCTTGAGCACATATCATTGAGGAAAACACCTTGTATTTATCATCATGCTACCCCCCATGTTGGAAAAAAGTCACTTGCAATGCAAACTCAGACAACTCTGGACAACCCAACCCTGGACAACTGGATTTATTTTTTCTGTAGGATCACGGACGCTGCATCATCTGTAGCCCACACTCCTGGGCAAAGGTTGCTACAACAGCTATCGCAAACACAGTTGAAACAAAAGAAGAAAACATGCCAAAACACAAAAACAAAGGCACTAAAATTATGCTGAGTTAAAAAGTATCTGAGTTTCCTGTGGTGCTGTAGGGCTCTTCAAGGATCCCCATGTGATTACCTCATTGTTTCTTTGTGCTCAAAAAATCTGCCATGCAAAAAATAACCAGGGTGCTGGTGTGCAGACATGATGCTCTTAGAATTCATGCTCCCACGGATCCAGGGCGTCGAGCATACGTTGCTTCTCCACACTGTCTGGCAAGCAAACTGCCCATTCATAGTTCCTCATTGATGTTTTTCTTCTGAGACCCACTTTCCCAGACTCAGACCCCTGTTTGGCCTCCAACAAAATTTGAACAACCACATGGAAAGAAAAACAATATATGTCCTACAAGAGTCTGGTGGTAGTCCAAATCACAACCAGCAGCAAACTCCAGGGCTGACATCTTGTAGAACGTCACATAGCGATCCTCACCGACCTCATACATCAACATGAGCCGCCATGGGTCATGCCTCCACATCTCCGACAACAAGTCCACCATGAAGGACCGATCTGAGGTGTAGATGGCAATGTCATCAGGATCAACCTGACCAATTGTTGCTCAGAGAAGAAAATGCAATGAACAAAAACCTTTGGTTTCATCGGGAAAAGCCTAAACCATTCAAACCAGAAAGGAAATCTATTTCACACTTGGAAACACGGAAGTACTTGACATAAACCTGCTGCAATGCCATCTTCTCATGGCAGTATTCCAGAGGGATACGCTGCCAATCACTGTCTCTTGGCAAATCCCAAAGACCCAAGCTCAGTGGAGTATCCTTCTGGATTTTGACAGTCTGAAATTCATAGCGGGCTGGGGGACAATATCCTTCAACAGGCCATTTCAAGCCTCACTGCTATTTCCCAATGAGAAAAATAAGGAATAACTGTAACTTTCTTCGAGTGATCCCCACCCCGACAAACTATTCTGACATTATATCTGACAGTCTTTCTGGCATATACTTTGACATGTTTTCTGGCATTCTATCTGGCATCTATTCTGACATTCTTTCCAATGTTTATTTTCACATGTTTCTTGCATTCTTTCTGACATTATCTCCTGGCATTCTGTCTGTGCAGCAAAGCATCTGGAGCTCGTGATATAAGGTTCGGGCCCAGGTGCAGCCCACAGCGTCTGGACCTTGCGATATGAGGCTTGGCGACGAGCTGGCACAGAAGTAGAATGAGAAGAGGAGGTGAGGAGGAGGAGGAAGAGGAGGAGAAGGAGGAGATGCACCTTTTGTTAAAATCTAGAGACCCTCACTTGACAGGTGGTGAACAAACCAATACCAAAGTTACAAAACAAACAAGTACACCAACAATTAAATAGAACACCAAGCCACCCATCAGCTTCACCATAAAATCAATCTCTGTTAAACGCACAGCGACTTTGGGCGAAGGCGCTCCATTGGTATTATCTGCAATGATTGAGGTCAACAGCGGGTTATCACACCAAGGTCGTTTGGGCATTTTGCCAGTGGAATTTGAGCATTCAGCAGCTTCAGCTCGGCCAGCTGCGAGTCCGATGGGCCAAACCCACGCCCCCAGACCATTGGAAAAAGGTCATGCACATCGTTACCCTTCCCAAAAAATCGCAACTTCGTTGTTGAATGTGGATATGGGGTGATTATTGGAATTCCCGTTTATAGAATGAAATGTGGATGGTTTCACAACCAAGGGTTCCCATAACCAAGGCCAGATGACAACATATTATTCATTCAAAACCACCACCTATAGAAACAGCAAAACGAAAGACAAACAGGGTTCAAAGCATAGCGTTATATCTCCACACCATTGTGTGGGGTTCTTGTTTTTTCCTGTTTCATCTTTCCGACTTCAGGCAACTTGAGCCAAATATATAGCAGCTAGAGATGTCTCCAGCATATGTCTGGGTGGCAGCAAGCTGTCACTTGCACCACTGCTTTGGTTTGTAACAACATTAGGTTGGTTCACCTTCAGTGGTAGTCAGCTATGAACACATAAAAAGGACAGCTAGTTGACATGAATTAACAGCTGGTTGCTGTGAAATGAACTTATGCATCGATTGTGTGTTTTGATTGAGAAAGTCACACTTAGCGACTGCTGCCTCGTGTGGAGGCGGGGTAAGACCAAACGTAGAGTGTGCAATGCATGCGGCCAGGTGAGTATCATCGAATTTTGCTAACATCCGTTGCAACAGCCCGGACATGTCCGCGTCCATTGGAGTGCAGCCGACCAAAGGCATTCGACTGCATCCGATCCCAATGCATCTGAGCAGTAAAGCTCCGTGCGCCCGATAGGATTTTGTGCATCCGCCCGATATGATTTTGCCTGAGTGTTGGAAAGTATCGAAATGCATCGATTGTGTGTTTTGATTGAGAAAGTCGCACTTGGCGACTGCTGCCTCGTGCGGAGGCGGGATAAGACCAAACGTAGAGTGTGCAATGCATGCGGCCAGGTGAGTATCATCTAATTATGCTAACATCCGTTGCAACAGCCCGGACATGTCCGCATCCATTGGAGTGCAGCCGACCAAAGGCATTCGACTGCATCCGATCCCAATGCATCTGAGCAGTAAAGCTCCGTGCACCCGATGGTATTTGTGGAAAATGTTGGAAAGCTTTGTACATGCATCGTTTGGGTGCTTGGATTGATAAAGTGGCATTTAGCGACTGCTGCCTCGTCTGGAGGCAGGGTAGGATCAACTCAGTCACGGATAGCAGACAAGCTTGGCAACATCCGTGTCCATTTTCATTGCAAGGTGGGCGCCGCTTTGTATTGTTGGACGTGCACGATGTGTTGTTAGAACAGATTGGATGAATTTTTAAATGCGACATCTAACCTGATTCATTGACATCGGCATTTTGAATGCAACATCAACGTTAGGTTCATTGACGTCGGCACATGTTTCGAAAGGTGATGCTTGCTGCACAGTGCTGCCTTTGGGACAGCACGTGGTGGTGATACTGCAGAGGCACGGGAAGTTGCGTCGTCGTTCGCCAGCGCATCCGGCTGTTTGTTGACAATACTGTCGGTTGTGCCACGCCTCAGGAGGTCTGGTGGCAGTTGTCCCCGGCCGGCTCTTATGTCACATTTGCTTATCATACCATATGCATGAAAAGGAAAACAATTATGAAAGTGATTAGTTTGTTGTTGCTTATATGCTCAAAAACACATCCAAGCTGGATGCTGTATGGCTGTCGCTCTATGAACGTGTCACCGATGAACGGTGGCGATATGTCAAGCGATGCTGCACGGGCTGGAGACGGGTCAGGTGGCCGTGTCCCCGACTTCGATGACATGGCAGTCTTGTCTGATTTGGCAGTTCCCTTCGTGGTGCAGTGGTCAGCGGATGAAAGTCATCGGTTGCAATTGGATGTAGCCCTTGCGGGCGTGGCTGCTATTTGTTTTGCGGTCAGTTCGAAAATACAGTGGGGCGCCTTGGCGATTTTCTGTGCGATCGCCTCTCGGGCATTGATACCATGCGAGCAAGCACAGGTGGAGCTATCGCCATTGCACTGGCTGGTTGTGCGGCCATATTCGCCGTCTGTGGTTAGCTTCGTAGGATCTTTGTCTGATGAGAAGAAATGTCTATTGACTTTCCAACTGTCTGCTGGACTCAATGTCCTCGCAGCATGGATTGCCGATCCGTCGCCTGCGTTAACAAATGATCTCCGAGATTTCTTTCGAGGACTTCGTGTGACTGCTGGATCAGCAGCAGTCGCCGATGTGATTGATTCCGCTCCGGCGACTGTGGATTAGGCAACAGCATACTCGGCGTGTCATTATGAGATTTCCAGCATTGGTGACAGGAAAGAAATGTTCTGTCTTTGTATGGCTGATGTAGGGATCGTTGAAGATGCTTGCACTGCCGATTGGGATGTTTGTTTTTATTGAAATTGCGTGTTTTATTTGCCCGTTATCAATAGATCAAATATGTAGATAAATAATATGTATATTTGCGTGTATGTATGCTGATTTTATGGATTGTTCAATATGTCTGATCGCCAGGATTCACTGGCGCCGCCGTCAAAAAGATCCTTGTTGCAGGCTGGTTGGGCATATCGTGTGATCAATTGATTCATTTCCAAATATGTCTGATGTCTTTTCGTTTGATTTTCATGTATATTTTCATGTATTGATTTTCATGTATCCTTCAAATCTAGATGGCTTCAGAGATTCTTATTTGTTGTGGTATTTTTGGCTCGAGAGTGACCAAGACTGCCACAAGGTGTTTCGTGGCAAATTGCCCGCTGCTGCTGTGAAGACATGGCGGTCGCTTTGGCCGGTGCTGCATCAGGCGGCGCTGTCCCCGATGTGGCTGGTGCGAGCCATCCGCCTCTTGCTGGTGGCCATATCACTGGCCATGGCGGCGCAGCCTTGCGCTTGTATGCTGGTATGACCCAGCAGCAAGCAATCCAGTTTGACGCCATGGGCCAAGTGGAGGCACCTGTCGGTCGTGGCGGCCAAGCGTACTGGGCGCTGAAGACAGAGAAAACTGCCGCGGCCCAAAGTGTGGTGAATGCTCACCCGGGCCTGCAGGTGGATGACGTGGTGTTGAAGCCGGTCACGGTGACGCATGTGGGGGTTGTGAAGCTGGTGCAGACGGGCTATCTGTACTGTGTGGACGCCAACCAATGGCGCCTGTACGCGCCTTTGCGCACACCGGCGCCGCGTGACCACGATGACAATGTCTACTACGAGATCCACCCGAGTGCGCAGCTGGAGTGAGGGGCTTGCTGCTTTGGGCCGCGACCAGGTGGCGGTGGCCCCGGCGCAGGTTAGGTGGCGCTGGCCCAACCGTTTCAATCGGCTCGGACTTGCAGTGTTTGATGCATATAAAAAAAAATGAGCTGGTGATGGTACAGCTGAAGGCAATGTCTTTGATGGGGATGAATAAAGAAATATGATTCTATGTACTGACAGCTTCTTTTTGAATAATTGTGGAAGACATTGAGTTTCATCACTTTGCAAGTCCTACATCGTGTCTGTTTTGCTTCAGTGAAAAATTTGATTGTGTTGTCATCAAACATTTTGGCAGGTCACACGGTATTGATCCACGAACCAGTTTCGGTTCTCATGCACCTGATTGTCGTCGAGGCTGGTGAATTGGGTGCGTGTGTGAGATTAATTGTGTGCTGCAAATAAGGGAAGTGGTGAATTGAAAATGACATTTTTTTTAACTTTAAACCTATGGATGACGTCTTGTGTGTTGTCCTGATATCAACCGACGGGATTGCTTTGGCTTGCAGAGCAAAGGCTGAACATAGGAATAGATGCACATTGTGGTAATGGTACAGCTGTGGCCACGGCGGAGGTTAGGTGGCGCTGGCCCCAACCGATTTGATCGGCTCGGACTTGCAGTGTTTGATACATATTTAAAAAAAAATAGGCTGGTGATGGTACAGCTGAAGGCGGTGTCTTTGATGGGGATGAATAAAGAAATATGATTGTATGTACCGTCATCTTCTTTTTCGATAACTGTGGAAGACATGGAGCTTCATCACTTTGCAAGTCTTACATCGTGTCTGTTTTGCTTCAGTGAAAAATTTGATTGTGTTGTCATCAAACATTTTGGCAGGTCACACGGTATTGATCCACGAACCAGTTTCGGTTCTCATGCACCTGATTGTCGTCGAGGCTGGTGAATTGGGTGCGTGTGTGAGATTCATTGTGTGCTGCAAATAAGGGAAGTGGTGAATTGAAAATGACATTTTTTTAACTTTAAACCTATGGATGACGTCTTGTGTGTTGTCCTGATATCAACCGACGGGATTGTTTTGGCTTGCAAAGCAAAGACTGATGATAGGAATAGATGCATATGGTGGTAATGGTACAGCTGTGGCCCCGGCGGAGGTTAGGTAGCGCTGGCCCCAACTGATTTGATCGGCTCGGACTTGCAGTGTTTGATACATATAAAAAAAAATAGGCTGGTGATGGTACAGCTGAAGGCGGTGTCTTTGATGGGGATGTATAAAGAAATATGATTGTATGTACCGTCATCTTCTTTTTCGATAACTGTGGAAGACATGGAGCTTCACCACTTTGCAAGTCTTACATCGTGTCTGTTTTACTTCAGTGGAAAAAAAAAGGATTGCGTCGCCAGCAACCATTTTGGTAGGTCGCACGGTACCGATCCACGAACCGGTTTTGGTTCTTATGCACTCGATTCGCGTCGAGGCTGGTGAATTGGCTGCGGATCCATGAGATTAATTGTGTGCTGCTAAGTGCTGAATGGAAAATGTCATGGTTTAAAACTTGAAACCTATGGATGACGTCTTGTGTGTTGTCCTGATATCAACCGACGGGATTGCTTTGGCTTGCAGAGCGAAAGCTGATAGGAATACCAAATTCCTGCCTTACGGGAAGGTCCAAAGTGAAAGGAACGTGACATGGAGTTTGCGCTGGTGCCTACTGAGTCTGGTGGCGATGTCCCCGACGGTGCCGGCGCAGATCATCCGCCGTTGCTGGGCGGTGAGCTGACTGGCTATGGCGGCGCGGCGCTGCGTCTGTATATGGGCATGACTCCGGAGCAACATGAGCAGTTCGAGATCATGGGACAAGTGGAAGCGCCCAAAGTGCGATGTGGCCGCTACTGGCCTTTGAAGACATCGGGAGGTGCGGCGGCAGCAAGTGTGGTGGATGCGCATCCTGAGCTCATGGCTCGTGATGTGGTGGTGATTCCAGTAACAGTGACCCACCTTGGCTTGGTGCGGCTGTTGCAGAGTGGGCATCTGTATTGTGCGGATGCGACACAGTGGCGTCTCTTTGGGGCCCTGCGCACGCCGAGCCCGCGAAACGAAGGTGGGCATGTGTACTACGAGGTGCATCCAAGTAGGCAGCTGATGTGAGAGCGGGCAGCGGGTGTAACCAGGTGGCGCTGTCCCCGGTGACAGTGAGGCAGCATGCGTCGTTGGGACAAAAAAAAAAAATGTGGCATTTGTAGCAATCCTCGCCAGCTGCAAATTGAGATGTTTTCGTTTTTGTTGTTGTGTTGCATAGCTTGACATGAAAGCCTTTTTTTTCTGTTGCTTGACATCCGTGGATGGCGCGGTGTGTGCTGGTCGGGAGGTGGCGAGCATCGCAGAGACTGTCAGGCGCTGACAAGGATGCCGCTTTTCCCGAGGCAGCGGTTGTTGTGATATTGCTGCAAAGTAAAGCACAGCATAATACCATGCTGTTAGAAGTCTGGTGGCGATGTTGCCGGTCATGTTGCAGGGATGCATATTGAAAGTGACTTTGATGTTGTACTTTTCTATTGCTGCATTGGGACTTTCGGAAAAACGTGTTATTACGTTGCTTCCTACTGCTTCAAGCAATGCTGAGTAGTCTCTGGGGTGCCAAACCCGAGGTGGCGGTGTCCCCAGGGCAGATGAAGCAAATGTTTCTACGATCGGGGTTTGACGAGGTTGTGGACGCGCAAAGTGTACGCTATGAAGTTCCAGTTGTTGTTCTGGAATGCATCGTCAAGCCTGTGAAAAGCTTCTTCAAATGCATCGCATTGGTGATGGATGAGTTTCGACGCCGCATGTGGTGTGAAGCCATTGGTGCCAAAGCTGACATGGAGCAGCTACAACAGAAACTCAAACCAGGTGCTTTGATGTGCTTTCGCGCTCTGTGCTTCAAGAAAAGTGTGTACCACTCGGGTGGCAAGTACATCGATCTGACGAAGAAGCAGAATGTGAAAGTGGAACTGTTGGCGCCCACTGATCCGGCATATGTGGCGTTGCAGAAAATCGTCAGCTTTGGCCCTGTGACGTTGGGTCACATTGCAGACCTGACGACGTTGGGACAGGGAAGCAAAGCAGATCTACTGTGCAAGATTTGCGACTTGAATGTGCGTGTGATCAAAGAGAACCAGGCCTGATATGTTTTTGGCAATTTTGAAATTTGTTTCGTTTCCATGATTATAATGTAGCGAAGTACACAAATGCATGTGAAGCTGATTCCTGCATGTTAGGAAAAGGTGGAGCTGTGGGTGAAAGACGCTTCGGACAAGCGTCTACTGGTGGAAGCTTGGGGGAAAAATTTCGCTGGGCAGTTGCGTGGATATGGCGCAACGCAGATTGTCCTGCTGATGAACTTCTCAGTCCGTCAAACTTCCGACGGCCAGTCGTGTACGCTCACAGGAGAACATGCCGGACAGACAGAAAGAGGCTCTGCTTTTATTTTGGCACCGACTGCAGAAGATGTCGTGAAACAATTTGCCGCGGTTGACATTGATGGCGGCGATGCCATCTCAGTGCCATGGCAGCCGGAGAATCCGCAGATGACGGCCACGGGGAAGTGTTTTACCGCTTGCTTAGCTTCTGTGAAGAATTCGTCTTTGGCTTTTGGTTTGGACTTTGCGCGACCCGTCGCGAACCGAGCTGGTGGCGGTGTCCCCGCGGGTGTTGTGGCGGAGATCTGGTTGCCAGATGAGGTTCGTGTCTTCGTGCCGGGCGTGTGGCTGACGGAAGTGCGAGATGGAGATCTTTTGTACATTCCCTGCTCGATCTGCAAGAAGAAGATGCCCGAGGGTGCTGTGAGTTGCCCGCATGGCCAATGCACGGGGGTGCCGAGCGCGGAGAAAGTAGTTCTGACGTCGGTGACGTTAGCGGATTCGACGGGCTCCCTCCGGAATGTGCTCTGTCGGGGTGACGAGCTTGCAGCTTTCACTTCTTTGCGTTCTGTTCAAGGTTTGGAAACGTGTTTGCAAGAAGAGGGACACGTCAGCCTTCCTTTCCGAGCTCGCTGTGATGTGATTATCGGCTCCCAGAAGGCGACGCAGTATGAAACGGTCACCGTAGCCAATTTTGAGTTGCTGGCAGCTACTCCGAAGTTACTCGAGGAGTGGGACACCGAGAGCAGACCTGCGCCGTTGTATGTGTTTCAAGGCACTGAGGCAGGAATTGTTGGTGTGACTGTCGCATTTTATAGAGTAGAAATCGTTACACCAGGAAGTCGTTGTGAAAAATGACAAACGTCGGCAGGTGCGGATGGGGCATGTTCTGCCCGTGGCATCTGTGGCGGAGTTTCTTGTCTCTCCAGCCGGAATGCAGCATCAGCCCAGTAAATCCATGCCGGAACACATTAGCATGGTTGTGGCAGCTCTTGACAAGCCGAAGCCTGAGGCCATTGATGGAATGTCAGGAACGGTCCGAGTTCGTCACGGCAATGTCGTGTCGCTCTGTGATCCTGACAAGCATGCTTTCAGCACGGAGGCTTTGTGTAACATGGCTGACATCTTCGCGTACAACATGGGCGATGGGAAGCCACGGTATGTGGTGGGTTCGATTCGTTTGGCTGACAAGGGCTATGTGATCACGGTCGCTCGGGTGTTTGCGTTGGACATGGACGAAGCTACTGTCCGTGATCTGCACGCGAAAGAAATTAGTGCGTTGCAGGGGTTGACCGTTCGGCGGGGCCCGAAGCAGAAGGCGGACGCATTGATGGAGGCGACGCCTGCCAAGAGACCGTATCACCATCCGTCTGGTCAGTCCTGATCGGTCACAACATTATGTTTTTTGTTGATGTTGTCAACCGACAGAATTATTTGATTGTAGTTGATGATGTAGTGATTATGATGTTTCATTCTGTGGCAGTCAGGCGGCCATGTCGGCGGCTCATGAGAATGTGATGTTTTCTCCAAATTCATGCCCATATAAATTGATGCGAACTGATTGTGTCGCGGAAACAGATTGTGGATGCTGCTGCTGCGGATAGTATAGCTTGGTTGTGAAGTGTGCGTTAGAGGATGAGCTGGGGTGGCTGAGCGTTTGTTCGCTCCATGTTGTCTTGGTGGTAGTGCCATGTTGCAACGCTTTGAAACTGGCTGCAACTTATAGTTCTGATTTGCACTTCAAGTCGCTGAAGGCATGACATCCTTCATCCGCTGCGAGGCCAGGTGGCGATGTCCCCGACTCGGAATCGTCCACATGGGAAGCCGGAGCTGCAGCAGCTACGTCAAAATGTGCCATTCCGTTATTGCCATGGCTGGATGGCATCAAGAAAGGTCGCTGTGAGGTCGCTGGTGAAGAATGTGTGCAGTACAGCTTCTCCGTCGAATCTCCCAGTGAAGTGAAATATCTCGTGAAAGACCTGACTCGGCAATATGAGGCAGAGTTTTGGTGCAGGATCTCTGTTCGGGGGAGGAAGGCTTTCAGAGCGCAGCAAGATGGTGCGGACGAGGGGAAGCTCTTGCGTGCGTCTTTGTATCCGCTACCTACTTTCTGGGGCAGGAGAGCACGCTTGCGTGCGCTGGCAGCTGCGGAGAAAGAGTTCGACGCGGTGATCCAGTCTTTCGTGGGCGTCGCTGCAAGCAAAGATGTTGTGACGTAGTTGATGACAACAGGAAGAGAAAGCTGGTGGCAGAGCTGAGAACAATATAGACTGTGTCGCGCTGGCCGAAGTCGGACCGTCCACCTCCACGTGGTGGCCAGTGGACACCCTGCAATTTGGACGTGTGGCTTGTGCCTTTTCATTGTGTTGTTTTCTTCGTGTTGTGGTCTCTTGATGACGCGTAGGTTCGCAGGGTGACTAACGGACGGGCGCATTGAGGTATGGGGACGCCAGGCATGGGGCCTAGGATTAGGCAACCTGGAGAGAAACCTGCCTCTAGGGGTCAACTGGCCTAGCAAGCGAGTTGACCCGACAAAACTCTTGCTACCACACGGGAAAAATCTAGCCGACAGACTCTTCCTTCTCTTAGCCAGCCACTAGTGACGGTCGGACAGGGCCGGACACAGCCAAAGAGTTGGAAAACTAAGTACATCAAGTATAATTGGGGTTGCTGGAATGTTAGGTCTTTAAATTCTCAACTAACACTCACTGACAATGGGGAGATTAAAATTGAGGGAAAGGAACCACAAAAGATCGACGAGCTATGTGCGGAACTACAAAAGCATAATCTGTCTTTGTGTGCTGTTTCAGAACATCGCTGGAGGGACAAAGGCACTTATAGGGTGAATGATCATTGGACATTTCTTTATTCGGGATTGGACAAGTCATCGGAAATACGGGCTAGTCAAGGGGTCGGAATTCTGCTGAATCAGGATATGTTATCCGCTTGGCGTAGGGCTGGGGAGTTGTGTGAATATAGGAGTGCGAGGTTGCTCAGGATCCGCTTGTTTATCCGTAACCGCTATGTTTCTGTTGTATCATGTTATGCACCCACATACACACATGCTGAGGTAGAAAAAGAAAGATTTTACACGGAGTTAGGACAAGTTTTGGACCAAATCCCAAGCCGCGATGAACTTGTGATTCTTGGGGACTTCAACGCCAGAGTTGGGACAAACGCACAGGAACAGTTCACCCATGGGGATACAGGTATACGGGCACCAGTAGGACGATTCGGACTGCCTGAGGTGAATGACAACGGAGTTAGGTTGTTAGATTTTTTGGCCACTAGGGACAAGGATGGGCTGAGGGTGCTGAGTACTTGTTTTCGTCACTCGACTTACGGAACTTGGTTTCACCCCTCTTCACGAAAATGGTTCCAATTAGATCATGTTATTTGTTCGGCACGAACAGCGGGTTTGGTCACTGATGTAAAGGTTATGCCGGGTTACGTCCATAACACTGACCATAGATGTCTCAAGGTACAAATCCATTTTCCTCCTAAGAAAGCTTTAGGCAAACATTTTGCGCGTCGCGACAATCCCAGGCCGAGTAGGATTCCGCGTCTTCAGGTGCAATTGCTGCAGGATGAAGAGGTTCGCGCGCGGTTCCTTGAGTCGTTCTTTAACATTGGTGCCGAAGGGTTGGTTAATGATTCGTATGAGCTTTTCTCACATGCGTTACGCAGAGTAGGATGGCAAATTCTCGGTCCCAAGGAGGCAAGGTTTGAACCTGAATGGAAGGCTGTAAATCAGGAACGTCTACAGGAACTCAGCGCGTACAAGAGACAAGT